CCACCGTCCACCACCACCGCCGTCAACGTCCACCACCACCCTTCACCACCACCCTCCACCACCACCACAATCGTCCATACACCACCACCGTACACTACCACCATTAATTTATATAGCAGTCTACAAACATTAAAAAACAAATAGTCTTCTTCTTGCAGACCGCAGACCTTCGGACCACCACTTCTCCTGCAGATGTCTACAGTAGTGGTGGTCCGCAGACTGCAGACCTTTTCCTGCAGAAAAAACAAACACCCCCTAAGTATCAATTTTTATTTAAAATAAAATGCAACAAAACATTGTTTAACTTGCATAGTTGGACAAATAAGTTTATACTCCTGTCCCAAAATAAGGTTCCACATTATTTTACTATTCACAAGGGTGAGTATGTCTTTTAATATATAGTAAATAGTTAGAATTCAACATAAAAATGGAGTGGATTTAGTGCTATAGTGGGGTGTGGTTATCACCTCCCTCATATAAATTATATTGACTTGGGGTTAACATTTTGTTTTAAATAGCCAAAACAGGGGCTGTAAGTCTGGGGTTATATCTTATATGCAATATATATAGTGAATACATTTCATTGTTTCACATGTTTCAATTAAGTGTGAAAATACTCCCGCTTGCAATGCTTCACTTCTTTTTATCTGTTCTCTGCATACTTCTACATTTACAACATAGTTATGCATTATTCATCTGGTGTTTCTATATAAACTTACAATTTTGCATCAACTAAAAGTACTTCCAAATCCAGGGAAATGGTGCATATGGCTATCGATGGCATGTGGCAGGTATTTAAGCTCCAACGCTCCACACCTAGAAATGATTTCTGTCGTATAGCTGCAAAAAATGGGATATTGCTCAGGCTCATAAACACACTTTATAGTTTGAATGAGGCGGCTCGTCTAGCTTCAGCAGCTGGAGGTGGGTTGCCAGCAGATGGCATAATTGCACGACCACGTTCTGGTCTTCTAGATCCTAGCAATTCCTCTTTTATGCAGAACGATGCATCAACTTATGGAGTCGATCAGCCAGATTTACTTAAAGTTAAGCATGGAGATCATGTTCCGTCTGCCAGTGTGCAAGAACCTTCACGCACACCATCTTCACAGTCACCAGACTCCAGACTCTTTTCTTTGGATAGTGATAGGTTTGCAACAGCAGAAGCTTCAGGTTCTTCGAAACTGCCTGATGTAGCATCCAAGGATCCTGCACCAAGAGATCGGGAAAGTGGAGACCGGTTTAAAAGTGATGTTTCTCAGGCTGAGATTGAACTTAGGCAGCAAAGAGTTGCCACTGCAAACAGAACATCCACGGACAGGCCTCCAAAATTTTCAGAAGGGACACAAAATGGAGTTTCAGCTACAACAGCTGCTCAGCAAGATAATGTTCGACCCCTTCTTAGTTTGTTGGAGAAGGAACCCCCATCTCGCCATTATTCTGGTCAGCTTGAGTATGTTCGCCATCTCACTGGGTTGGAGAAACATGACAGCATCCTTCCTCTACTTCATGCATCTACTAATGATAAGAAAACAAATGGCTTGGATTTCTTGATGGCTGAGTTTGCAGGTAATGGCACTGCCTAGTTATTGTTTATTGTATCCTATGGATCTTTCCTATCTCATTCATGCTAGCTTTACATTTTAGTAAATGGATAAAGCTTCTTACCTAAAGGCATCATGTTTTACATAAATTCTTATTATTCTACCTTTTCTTAAATTCATTTGTTATAATTCTGTTACATTTTATCTTAAAAATTACTCTGCAGAGGTTTCTTTACGTGCAAGAGAAAATGCTAACATAGAGTCATTACCTAAAAGTACACAAAAAGCTGCAAGTAAGAAGGTAGGTCTGGTGGCTTCTACCGAGGGAACTGCATCCACGTCTGGATTTGCATCTCAAACTGCATCTGGTGTGTTATCTGGTTCAGGAGTTCTAAATGCTAGACCAGGGAGTGCAACATCTTCTGGATTACTTTCACATATGGTGTCACCATGGAATGCTGACATCGCTAGAGAATATTTGGAGAAGGTAGCAGAGCTTTTACTTGAATTTGCTGC